ATCCCGAGAGGAGAATGGAGGAGAAGGGATTGCGGCGTGACCATCCCCCCTGGGGGGTGATTTCTCGCTTTCTGTCTCTATGTCTCTGTCTGGCGAGCACACGCGCCCTACAGTGAAAATCTCTCAAAAAAACAAAAAAAAGGCACTTAAAAAAAAAAAAGGCACTTAAAAATAATTTTAAAAAAATTCATGTTAGAGGAACCAGCAGGTAGCATAGTTGCTAAGGTGCTGGACTCCCACGTGGCCAACTGTGGTTTGAGTCCCAGCCATGGTGCTTGCTTTCTCACTTTCCTTCACTTTCTGTCTCTCTCTGGTCAAATTAAAAAATAATAAATACATAAAATAAATATCTCTTTGAAAAAAAATTCATGATACAGCACATGCGTGTGCACATGACAATGAGGGGGGGAGAGAGAGAGAGGAGCACCCTCTATGGGGTCTGGTCACACAGCGATCCCTTTCTGCCAGTCCTTTAGCCCGTCAGATCCTGGGCGCTTGCGTGTACACAGGGCAAGTCTCAGAATGACCTTGACAGGGATTTGAACCAAGGTCACCACGTGGGATCCAGCTTCTCTCGAGCAGCACATTACGGCTGCGCCACAGGGCCAGCCCCTGCGTTTACCATTTATATAAGATAAACCGCAGGAATCTGAGAGATCCGCTTAGAACCAGTGTCTAGCGATGCCTCATTTGGTTTCCAAGAACACGTCTTCCTCCTTGGAAGGTCTCGGACCTGACGGAGAAGCTGGAGGAGAGGATGTACCAGATCTACGACCACCACAACAAGGTCATCCAGGAGAAGCTGCAAGAGTTCACCCAGAAGATGGCCAAGATCAGCCACCTGGAGGCCGAGCTCAAGCAGGTCTGCCACACCGTGGAGACCGTGTACAAAGACCTGTGCGTCCCGCCCGAGGTAGGCGTGAACCCTCGGGGGACTTGGCGGGGAACGGCCGTGTCCCGTCTCAGCTGACGGTCAGTGCGGGCAGAAGCCAGGCCGGCCCTCACCCCACAGGGGCCACGGGCTCCCGGAAGCTGGACCACCGTCATTCCCACAGTGTGTGGTGACAGGAAGGATGCAGTCGTCTGCACGCCTGTCCTCTGCCCACAGCCCTGACCCTGCAGCACTGACACGTGCCCGGGGGCCTGGGTGGAGCCACTGATCATAGCGGGGCCTAAGCCTCCCACACGGCCTGACCACTGCAGAAAACCCCTGCCGCATCCCCGTGACCCGTGGCCCCTGAGTGCATCCTCTCCTCCTGCAGCCGAAACTGCTCCTTGGGTAGCTACGAGCATGCGTGGTTCAACATCATCTTTTTATTTAAGAAGTATTTTTATTTAACTTTTAGTTATTTTTTAATTGACCAGAGAGTAACAGAATGAGAGAGAGAAAGTGAGAAAGCAAGTCGCCAAGTCCGGGACTCAAACCGGGGTCGACCATGTGGGAGTCCAACATGCTGGGTTGGGGCCGGCAAGTGGCGTGGTGATTAAGGGTGACGCCACTGCCGGCCCCAACCCAGCGTCATGTTTATTTCTCTCCCTCATCCCTGTCCTGCACCGCACCCAGCATAAGGCACTACCCCCGGCTGGGAGGGCCAGAGGGCGCATGGGGAGCTCTGGGTGTCCAGGGTCTGCGTGGTCAGATACAAGGCCCACCTCCTTCCCCGTCCCTGCTCCTCCGGCCAGGAGAAGCTTCTGTCCCGGGAGAGTGGAGCCCATTGTCACCCACGTCCGGGGAGGAGCGGGGGGTGGAGAAGGGCTGTAAAGAGAATCCCAGCTTCTTTCAAAGAGCACCTCTGAGGCCTTCAGAGCAAAATTCAGATATTTAAGTCCATGTCCCTTACTTCCGGCCATCAGTGGCTTCTTCTGCCTGCTCCGTTACTCAGCTCAGGGCGCAGGGCCCAGGCCCCGGCCCCCCAGAGTCTCTCTGGGAAGGGGCTGCAGGGCAGCCGGGCCTCCACAAAGTATCTTCACTTGCCGGCCGTGAACGCCTGCATGCCCGTGATTGCTCTTCCCAGGATCAAGGCGTGGATGTCGTGGGTCCCTGGACGAGGTTCACAGAGTCGGGTTAGCACCTTCCCGGCCCGCAGCTGCCCTGTAAAGGCCACCTTCCTGTCCCCCCAGGCCACTACTTCCTTTTTTTTTGAGAGGTTTTTGCTATAGGGCCCGTGCATTCGCCAGACAGACAGAGAGAGACATAGAGACAGAAAGCGAGAAATCACCCCCCAGGGGGGATGGCCATGCCGCAATCCCTTCTCCTCCATTCTCCTCTCGGGATCTTGGGCACGCACACACACACGCCCGGCATGAGTTTTAAGCCACCGGGTCCAGGGCACGAACCGCGGTTGACTACGTGGGAGTCCAGCGACATAGCCATTATGCTAACTGCTGGTTTCCCCCCCAGGCCACTACTTCTGAAGAGCAGACCCACAAAGACAGCGAATGCTGATGGCCACCGGGAGCTCCATGTTTTAGTGACAGCCACCAGAGAAGGTGCGGAGGCCGCTGTTTGGGCCATACTGAGAAAACTGTTTTTCACTGTTCTGAATTGCATCTTGGCAAAATGAAAAAAAATAAAAATTTAAATAAAAAAAAAAACTAAAAAACTCCTAAGTTCCTTGTGCTCGACCCAAAAATGCAATGAGCCTAGTCCCAGCTGAGGGCCCAGCCTTGGCGGACGCCATACCCAGCAGTCACGGCACCCCAACCCCGCCGTTTATTAAATGTTTTCATCTTCGGGCAGCAGACGCGTAAGGGTTATATCACTAGACTCCCATGTGGTCACGCGTGGTTCGAGTCCTGGACCCGGTGACTTAAAACTCATGTTTGTGTGTGCCCAAAATCCCAAGAGGGAAATGGAGGAGAAAAGGATTGCGGCGTGGCCATCCCCCCTGGGGGCTGTCTTGCTTTCTAGCTCTGTCTCTCTGGCAAGCACACATGCCCTACAGAAAAAAACCTCTCAAAAAAAAAAAACTTTGGTCTTCAACCAGCCATGCTTCCGTGGAGGCTCAGTAGCCAGGTAGCCAGGTGTCTGTGGGAGGGTCAGGAGAGGAAACAGCCGCTGGTCCTCGCTGACCTCCCCCCACCCGAGTCCCCCATATTCCCTCCCTCGTGTCTGGGTATACTGCTCCTTCCCTGCTGCTTGGGGCAGAGGCAGAGGTCATGGCCTCCCTCTTGCAGGGTCGAATAATTCAGTTCACTCCCTAAGCACCAATCTGGCCCATCCCTCTGCTGCGTAAAGCCATGTGAGGGCCCCTCCACTTGTCTGCAGGGTCATTCTGTTTTGTTTTCCCTAGAGGATGTGTGACCAAGGGAGAGAGGGTCATGGCGCAGTGCCCTCTCCTCCCTCCTGTCAACTTTGTGAGTGTGCACACACATGTGCCAGCCTGCTCCTCAGGCTGCCAGGTCTGGGACTCGAACTGCATCATCAGCCGTGTGAGATCCAGCTGCCTTGACCACCAGGCGCGGAGCCGGCCCAGTCCTGAGGGGTCATTCTTTTTTTCTTTTTAAAGAGAGATGTTTGCTATAGGGCGCATGTGCTCACCAAAGAGACACAGAGAGACAGAGATAGCAAGAAATCACCCCCCAGGTGGATGGCGATGCCGCAATCCCTTCTAAGCCTCCATTCTCCTCATGCTGAGCACATTCTAGAAATCATGCCCAGTGTAAGTTTAAGCCACTGGGTCTGGGACTTGAACTATGGTCGACTCTCTGAGAGTCCAGTGACGTAACCATTCGGCCCTCTGCTGGTCCCAGTTCTTTTCTTTCTTTCTTTTTTTTTTTTTTGAGAGAGGTTTTTGCTATAGGGCGTGTGCGCTCGCCAGACAGACAGAGAGAGACAGAGAAACAGAAAGCGAGAAATCACCCCCCGGGGGATGGTCACGCCACAATCCCTTCTCCTCCATTCTCCTCTCGGGATCTTGGGCACGCACACACATGCGCCCGGCGTGAGTTTAAGCCACCGGGTCCGGGACGCGAACCGCGGTTGACCACGTGGGAGTCCAGCGACATAGCCATTACGCCAACTGCTGGTCCCACTTCTTTTCTTTTAACGCAAAGTGGAGTGGGACTTCCTACATAGCTTCACTCTCACTTCCTTGTCCCCCAGCTGTCTAGGAACCGTGGCTCATTCGGGGGGTGCCCCTGGAGGCCACACCCCAGTCTTAAGAACATCCCTCCTCCCGAGCACGACAGGCACCTGGGCCTGATCGGGCCTGTGAGGCTCACACCTCTGCTCCCCCACATCTGCCACTTGGTCACAGCCCGCTGTACCCCACTCAGGGCTGCCCCCTTCCCCAGACACGGGCCGACATGGCGCCCCCACGGTCTGGCCCCCACCTTCGTAGGTGTTCACCGACTCCAGGTTCATGACGTGCCGGATCACGTGATACTCGTCACAAATCCCGTTCCCCCCCAGCATGTCCCGGGCCTGGCGGGCGATGTCCAAGGCTTTCCCGCAGTTATTCCTCTTCAGCAGAGAGACCATCTCCGGGGTGGCCCTGGGAGTGGGACAGGCGTGGGACGAGCTTGGGGGTCACTGGCCCTGTGTGGGCACCCGGGCAGACTCAGCCGAGGGGAGGGGACTCCCGAGTTACAGTCACAGCAGCGACTAGCAGGGCGGGTCCCTGGGACCGCCAGGTGGGAAGGACCTCCCCTGGAGGGGGACCACAGGCCTTGCTGCCCCCTGCTCCCCTACACCACCCCTACTTGTCCTGGTCCTTCAGGCGGCCGAGCTGCAGGCAGGCGTGGAGGCCCAGCGCGATCTCCGTGAGCATGTCCGCCAGCTTCTTCTGAATCAGCTGGTTCCTGGCCAAGGGGACGCCAAACTGGATCCTAGGTGGGCAGGGACAGGGTCAGGCACAGGGGAAGCCTGCTCCCCCACTGCCGTCCCTTTCCAGGACCCCGGGAGCCTCCTAGGCTGCATCAGCACCCCCGAGCTCACCCCTGCCCTGAACTACTTGGAATGACCTCACGGGCCGCTTCTCGGAGCAGGGAACGCAGGCTTGGAGGGCCGGGGCTGGGGTGTCAGCAGGGTGTGGAATAGAACCCAAGTGCCCCCACCCCCCCAGGCTGCATGGCAGCCCCCACACACCTGTCCAGGGCGTACTGTCGGGCCGTGTGCAAGCAGAACTCGGCGGCTCCCAGCACGCCCCACGTGATGCCGTACCGGGCGTTGTTCAGGCAGCCGAAGGGACCCTGCAGGGTTGACGGGGGGCCGTCAGCACCCCAGATGCTGAGAGGGCCTGACAGAACCAGCCGAGGCAGGGGAAAGCCTCCTCCCAGACACCCCAGAAAGAGGACCCAGAGCCATGGCACCGAGGCACACGCCTGGCATGCCTGCTCGGTGATGTGCAGCTCTCCAAGCTGGGGCCAGCTGGCGCGGAGCCGGGAAGATGCAGGGTCAAAGCTCTGCCTGGCTCAGGCCCGTGTCCCGGGCAGAGCCAGTATGAGTGTGACAGTCACCAAAGAGGGGCAGCTTTGGGCTGGCTCCGTGGCTGGCGGTTAAGAAAGCCAGATCCCACATGGCCAACCATGCTGTTCTTTTATTTTTTTTAGGAATCATTTTATTTAACTTTATTTATTTATTTATTTATTTATTTATTTTGAGAGATTTTTTCACTATAGGGCGCGTGCGCTCACCAGACAGACAGAGAGAGACAGAGAGACAAAAAGCGAGAAATCACCCCCCAGGGGGGATGGTCACGCCGCAATCCCTTC